TTTTTGTAACTATAAGTTCTTCAATTTAATTTTTTTTTATAATTTAATTTAGATTTAATAACAAAGTAATTTATTTTTGATTTAACAATATAATTTTTTATAAAAATAATAATTAAACATTCTGTTAGAATTCAATGATTATCTTAATTATATTTTAAATTTTCTATATCTAAAATGGATGTTTATCATGTATTTGATTATGTTTATCCGCAGTTAGTTACACGGATTTAAAAATGGAGCTTTAATAAGTTGTACTTACGTAAAATTACTTGTAATATTGAATTTTAAATAATATACATCAATAAACAGTAATTCATACATAAAAAATTGTTTTTAAAAGTTTTTATCAAATGCTTTATAATATAGTATAGATATAAATAATAATAATTATATAAAAGTTGTATTGTAAACCTAACCCAGGATCTTCCAGGGTGCAATCCGGCGGAGTTGACTACTAATTTGTCTTCTAGTTAGGAAATTGCTTTGACAATTAAGAGACGTTTTTCAATAAACATAGGATGATTTTGACTAGTTTTTTTCAACTGTTATAAGACCAAATATTGTGCTTTTACTCTATAAAATCAAACACTTCTATTCTCACAATCTGTAACGCTTAAACACAATCTATCATCACACACAATATAAAATCACGTCAAACTTTATAATTTTTATTACTTTTTTTAATTGCATAAATAAACCAACAAAATGTTTTTATATTTTCTTATAAGAATTATATTTTATAACCACTGAATGTTAATATTTTTTTTAATAATTGTTTATACGAAAAAAAAAGTATTTGTATATGATTTTGCGGCACAAAAATCAGATATTATATCTTAAAAATGTCATATATTTTATAACCACGTATTTTGACCGCTATTTTGTCGTTTAGTGGCCTACGATTTAATGACAATTTGACGATCTGTTTTATCTTATTATGTAACGGTTTATATAAATAGGCGGTCGGAGGAGACCATTATCACCATCCCCACCGACATCCACCACTAGAAACACACCCCCTTCCAGCATTCGGATCCCCTTGACCATCGACCACCGATCACCGTCCACCGAGCACCGATGACCACCGGTCACCGTCCATCGACATCCACCATCGTCTGCCGCCATCGACCATCGTTTGCCACCACCTACCACCGTCTACCGCACCTCCAATCGTCTGCCGCCACCGACCACCGTGGAACAACCACCTACCAGGCTACCACTATAGAATAACCGGTAAAAATTCGCAATATTTTTAATTTAACTTAAAAATCTATTTTTTGTCTAGTATTTAGCTTAACATTCTATATTTATTTTTTCCAAGACTAATTTTATATAGTATCTAACATTTAATTTTTGAATTTATTTTTAACAGGTGTTCTACCAATTGTTATTAACGTTGAGGGCCCAAACCTCAATAATAATAAAAAATAAACGATATATTATCAAATAATCAAAGGAGGTTAAACATGTTAAGAGATACATGTTTCGGCCCATGGTTAGATATATCTAACCACTATTCATATTCCTCATTAATTAATTTAATGGTGCAATGTGAGGACCCCTCCTTCCCTTCTCAATCTGAAAAAATATATTATCGTGTTGGAGGGTTTCATTTATGGTTCAGCAGACATGAGTTCTGCTTGATCATGGGTTTTCGATTTGGGTCGGATCTTCGTCCGTCACATTGGATCATACCCATTAATTTATTACAAAATTGTTTGGTAAAATGACCAAACATGATAATATTAAAGTCGAAGATTTTAGAAATAAATTAATCGACTTAAATAATAAAGATATATCAGACGTTGACCCTTCGTAACGGTGGTTCACCACTTTGTGATTGATCGCTTAAAAGTGGTCAATAA